TTGATACCTGCCACCATGCCTAATGGGCTGTGAATATTATGTGTTATCAGGTCATTTGCTCTGTGATAGGTCACATCCAGCAGAGGCTGTGTTTTTATTTCTCAGCCTGTGGTAAGTTTTTTTTTTTGTTGTTGTTGTTTTTCTTGAGCTGATATGAGTTATAACAGTTTTGTTGTGGTGTGTAGTTGATCGATCTCTTTAAAGTGTTTCTGTTTATTTTCTCTGTTGTGCTTTGAATGTGTTTTTCCTAGAGTGGTGTTTCTTGCTGATCCACTTTCTTTTTCCCCATTTCCGATACCGATATCTGAGGTTTCCGATCCGATAAGAAATCAGTCCTGAATGGACTAAAAAAGTTTCAGACATAAATGTACTGAATTACAAATTTTTCTGGTGACTCTGAACCAGTACGGCGCATTTAAATACAGGCTTGGTCAAACATGATATAATTACATAAATTTTCATTCATTCAGTTGGTGCAATTAGGAGCAGAACAGTCAATGTAAAACTAAAACCAATGGTTAACTACCTTGGTCAATCAATACCACTATCAACGAATTTTATTGGTATTTTATGTGAGATAAATTGTATTACAGAAGTAGAAATAATATATCTTCATGTTGTTCCACTCATGAAAATGTATAAAGCATCTGAGGTATTTGTATTCTGACCCTTAGTTTAGTGATTAGGTCAACATGCACAACTTGTTCTGAAAATATAATAAATTATATCAATAAAGTAGAATAAAGAACAAACGGAACCAAAGCTGACTTTTTGATACTTTTTTATACTTTCTGCTTTTTACAATGAAACAAGAATGTCGTTTTTTTTTTGTTATTTTTGGAAAATGTTTTTTCAAACATACTGCAACAACATCAAATTCATGGTAGAAAATTATCTACACTCTGTGGGACACAGAGAAGAGTACATCAACAGTTTACTGGAAAAACATCATGTGCCACTGCTTATACCTAGATATTGTAACCTAACATAATTTTGCCGTTTATTTCTCCCCGTACGCGGAACACAAAAGGAGACATCTTTGTTCTTGCACAACGAGGGATGAACATTATTTAAACAGCTTCTGTTTGTCTGACCCAGTAGAGCTAAAGCAAATATTCAAAATTATAATTCAGTAACATGAAGCATTAGTTCACTGCCAGCTGTGTGGACACAGACGTCCATAAGAATCAGTCACTAGTTTTCCAGGTCGCAGGTAGCAGTCGTCATGTGACAGTGAGACTGTCATCTTCTCTGCTTAGCGATTTAAATTCATGGGATTTTTTATTGTCTTTTCAGAAATCTGTTGCCATTTATTTAAAAAAAAAAGAAAAAAAAGACCAGACTAATATCTCTCCATAATTTGAGGGAGATTAAAGCTTAAGTAGTTTGAGGCAGATGAGCAGAAGCCCTGGCCTGTGGATTCAGCGTTTGGTTAACCTTCTGTTGAGGTTAATAACTCTGATATTGGCTCTTTAATGTTATTCTGACAAAATGATTACAGCCTGAATAATTCTAGAGACTTGCTTTTTTTAAGTATAAATATTAAGTGGCTCAAGATCTTTGAAATTGTCTATTTATTTTTGCTGCTTTTAGCATTTGCTTAAAGCTACAGTAGGTAATAAGTGTTGTTTTTTTATTTGTATTTTTTACATATTTGTTTAAACTCTGACCATGTTGTGACAGTTCTGGCAGAAGGCAGAGGAGCTTGATTTTTTTATTTTTATTATTTTCTTTTTTACATATTTGTTGAGTGATAGCTTCAAGAAGCTATCACTCAACAAATATGTAAAAATGTTTTATAAAAGTTGCTGCAGCTTCAAAGAGGCGGTATTTTATATTTTCCAGGTACATAGTGTCGTTTTATTTTATAACAGTCAAATAATGGTTACGTTCAGTTCCTACAAAAATGCTGAATATATCAAACATAAGTTAGAAGAAATGTGACGTCACAACTTGACGTCTTGAAATTGGCCACTGTCTCTTTAAGAAGCTCCTGCTGTTTCCACACATCATCACAACAGTTCTACTCCATTTACAGCCGATCTTAGGAGGGCTGGACTGACAAGTAGTTTGTATGATAACCTCGACTCAAAGTTCCAACAGGTGTTTGCTAATTGCCTCTGGCTAGTCTGGAGGAGCTGAAGGGGGTGGGGCGGGGCACTCTGAGGCAGCTTTGGGACTGCAGCTCTGAGGAAGAGTTTCATGGAAATAGGCGACAATTTATAAAAACAGGCGTTCCCATAGCAAATAGTTGCTATGTGCGATTCATTGATTTCTCAAACATTCATGAAAGAATGAAAGCAACATTCCAGATATGTTTTTGATGATTCAGTAACATGATAACATGATGTAAAGCTAAAAAAAAAAAAAAATAGAAGTCACATTATATCGCCCCTTTAAATAATACCCATCACCACCAAGAGGGTCAAAAAATAACAATCATCCAAACTTTGTTAATGGAAGAAAACATTCTTACATTGTATCTCAATGTAATCTCAAGCTGTAGTTATAGAAGGAAAACAAGCATGAAAATCTAATTAGTGAATTTATGACAATCAATCATTGTATTGCTGCTTAGAGTCGACACGATATGTGCAAAAAACACACAAAAAACACAAAAAAAAACAAAAAACAGAAAAATTAAAATCAGCTTTACACACAGGAAAGCCAAACGGCACATTGATGTGGACAATAAACAGGATGCATAGGCCATCCGTTTGGTCCTAATGCGCAACATTAGGACCAAACGGACCTTCATCAACACAGACACACAGGTTGTCTGGAGACCTTAAACCAATTGGGAGGGAAGGAAAGTCACAGCAGACCAGCTGGGATTTTCCTTTCTGTCGTCTTGGTGTTAAATCTGCTTTGAAACATCCGTCTGAGGACAAAGGAATTTTTTTTATGTCCAACAAAGCATGAGAACAGAAATCTGACAGCTGTTCAAAAACATGAAATAAACCTGCTTATGTGGCAGTAAATGGTTGCAGCTTATACACACGGATCCTAAGTGTGGCTCAGTATGCCTCGCACTTGCCAACCGCATCGATAAAGGCATTTCTCCTGGTTTGTCTCTGGAGATTTCTCCTATCGTTTTGCTAATAGTTATGATTTATTGACCTTGTACCTTTACCATGTCATTAAAAAGTAACACCATCTGCAGTTTCTTTTGAAATCTTTGACCGTCTGTATTGCTCTAAGTTTGTGGTGTTGTGAACTCAGCAGTCACACATCATTAACACAAAACATAACAGATGAATTTCGACTTCGCTTGCTTTATATTTTGCACCTGTTCTTTAAGCCTGATCACAGTTTGCTTTGCCTTTAATAGGAAACTCTGCTGATAATTCGCAGCTGTCTCAAACCATCTGTGATCCTTTTAGCAATTAGAAATTGGTCAGAACAGATTAAACGATTAAAACAACCAAAGTGTAAAGCTTGTCTTAACACCATTCTTACTCAGTAGCTTATAGTAAGATCAGTGTGTTCTGTTCCCTCGTTTCGCTGCTGCTACTCGGGATCTTCTCTGCCTCTGTTCCTGTTCCAGCTACACAGCATCGATTCCATTCAACAATCTAAAAATCCTCTCAGCAGTCTAAGGTTTTGACTGAACCACTAAACTCTCCATCCTGACTCTCTGCGTACTGGTTTTTTCCACTCCCCTCTCTCTGGTGATCTTTAACTCATCCCCGAAGCCAGAACAAATAAAATATGGAATTTCTGAAATATTTTTGAATTGATCGTATTGGGTTTTATTGGGTTCATATTGTTCTTTTGTACTATTTTGTGTGCTTGTAGTTCTATTTATCTTTGCCTTAAAAGTAGCTTACCTTAGTATGTTTTTAAATAGGATTTCACATGTTCATAAGAGAACATGGTATGAAGGGAAGTTAGAATATACAAATATATACAAGTAATGGCATTATGACAGGTTGGATATATTAAGCAGCAAGTGATCATTTTGTCCTCACAGCTGAGGTGTAACAAGCAGAGCAAAACGTGCAGCCATAAAGTTCAAGCTACTTCTATCGGTGCCACATTGTAAAGCATCTTCAAAACTGCTGTTCCTGAAGAAACCTCTTCAAAATGATTTTTCTTTTCAACATGAACAACATTTCAGATTAAGATATCAGATCAACCCTTTTAATGACAATACAGACATTTACAAATAGACATTCAGCAGCAATGACAATGAGTGCCCCAGCTCACCAGCAGGAGGCTATAGAGACTTAGCTTACCTAGCTTTGATAGCACACCTCCACTTTTTGGCAATTGAATTTGCACAGGAGCTAAATACTTACCTCTAAGCTAAATGCTAATAAAAAATATTTAACTTTTTTGCCAATTAGATGTTTTATATGCAAACAAGATATTTAGTTGGCATGCTAAATATTTAGCTTGCTAATGAAGTATCTGTTATTTAGCTTAATTAGCTTGCTACCTAAATGTTTTGTTTTGTGAACTAAATATATAGCTTGGATGCTAAATATTTAGCTTGCTTACTCATTGTTTTATGAGTAATCTTAATATTTAGTTAGATGCTAAATATTTAGCTTATTTATCGTGCCAACTCGATGTTTTATTTGTAAACTAAATAGTTACCATGCTAAATATTTAACTTGCTAACGTAATATTTACTTTGAAATGATGGCATGTAGAAATTAATTAATATCATAGTAAAAATAAATATATTTAAAAAAAATGAACCCCTATTTTTTCTCTCTCTCTCTCTTCCAACCCAAATTTTTTCTGCAAAACTCTGACTCTGTAACTTTGCAAATGACATCTTGTACTACTAAACATGTCTCTGCTTTTACTGGCTTAACCATAAGATATGTCACCAGTCCATTGTCAGTGTGAACTAATTTGCAGGTCTTACTATCTATGTTGTTTCTCATTTCTGTTCTTTTTTGTTTTTCCATTGTCCATAAGCTCCTCTTGGGCGCCGCCTCTGAAATAGTTTCGGTTTAAAAGTTTGCTCTCTGTCTCTCTTGTCCAAGACTCTTAGGTTGCCATGAGTGAGGAGGAGGAGGGCCCTGGTGTTGCAGCATCAGCATCCACACAGTCAGCAGCGACAGCCGCCAGGACACCACCGGCCGCAACCAAAGGCAGAGATGGTGTGGTTTCGTCCTCGCCCCCCCGCAGGCCCTCTCCTCTCTATCGCGTCTGTCCCGAGGAAAAAGAGGCAGAAGAGGAAGAGAAGGGGATCATTCAGGAAGAGAGGCTCGAAGAAGAAGAAACGGAGCTGAAGGTGGTGGAGGAGCGTGACGACGGCGGCGACGACGAGGACGACGCCGACGATGGCAGCAGCGACACCAGCGTGCTGGTGGTGCCCTATCCTGAGCTGGTTCCTGTGGTCTTCTTCTGTCTGAAGCAGACAACCTGCCCACGCAGCCTGTGCATCCGCATGGTCTGCAGCCCATATCCTTTAAACCCAGTGTGGGAAGTCTGCAAAAAAACCTCATCTTTCACTGTCTGTATTCATCATGTTTTACTCAGTCAGTACTTAATCATTTCTCTTTTCAACTTTTTTTTTTTTTTCAAATTCAAGTCAGCCTGAGCTTGGCTTGAGAAGATTTTAACATACGCAGCCTTTTAAAAGTACTGAAAGCTCTAGTCCTCTCTGCATTTCTTCACGATACCACTGCAAACCTCATGCGGTTTTATAGACCGACACAACTGTGAAGCCCAGAAGAAAAAACCCATAATGTTGTAATTTCCCATCATCCTCTTTTGTCAGTACAGTGGAGAATCACGTTACACCTCTATCAACGTAACCAGAGTCGGGGCAAAAACATCTGGCTTTTCTTTTCTATTTCAGCCTTTCTGGATGAAGAGACTTTTTTGGGGGTGTGGGGGAATCATTTTTAAGTCTTACCAAACATTCTCAATGAGATTTAGGTAAACACTTTTCCAACAGATTTGGTCGAAATTTTTCCACTGTAGCTCTGACTGCATGTTTTAGGAACCTTCACCCCAGCCTGGAGTCTCTTACAGGTTTTCTTCCCTGTGTTTGGCTCCAAACTCCTGCTTCTTGACATCGACACCTTTAACTTGCAGAATAATTTCTTCTCCAAACACGGCGTGGCAGTAACATCCAGACTTGACCTCATCGGACCAGACCTTATCCGACTCGTAGCTCACTTTCTTGACCAAATCATCAGTTGCAAATTTGAAAGAACTTTCAACATGCTTTTGTTTTGTGCACAGAGGAGATTGCAGATGAGTATTTTATGTGTTGCTCTTGTTGGAAAAGTGTGCCGTCTGTTTCCATATCTTTCTGAAAGTCTCCCTTGTTGTTTGACGGGTCTCGGACATGTTTCATGTCATGCTGTGTCAGAATGAAGGTGACCTCTAATGTGGCTGGTTTATGGTGAAAAAATGTCCAAATTATGACTCCAGCTGCATTCACTGGAAGACTCAGAGTTCAGCCGTAATGACTGACGTTAGTATGTTGTGCAGCAGTAAGACGTTTTTGTGAAGGTTTCTTTGCTTTTGCAAGTTCTGTACTTTACTCAGGCAAACCGTTTCTACAACCTGGAGGATAATAATAAACTAGCTGATATTAATTTTCACATAGCAACAGCAATGCTTTCCAAATACTGACATATTTTAAGAGCTTCGTTGACTTTCAGTCCCTTTTCACTCATCCGTATCTTCAGGAATTCAAACTTCTTCCTTGTTGTTCCAGTATTTTACCCACATCTTTTATTTGTAGACTGCTTTGCTTTTTAGTCTTTGTCTTTTATCTTGGCTTGTTGCCAATTGGTGTAACTCTTTTAGCAAATTTCCTTTAGTAGAAGTATTTATACTGAGGAAATGTTTCAGTGTTACTTTTACCCACTGTGAAATCAGCGTTTCGGCTGTTTTGTGGTTTTCTGGAAGCCTGTTCCAGATTCGAGGAGCGTTGAAGCTGAATGCTGCTTCTCTGTGTTTAGTTCTGGTTCAGGGATCTGGATCAGAACCTTTCAGACCTGAGGGGTCTGGAAGGTTGATGCAGCAACAGCAGATCTTTAATGTATTTTGGCATTAAGCCGTTCAGTGTTCACATTAACAGCCTGTTCATAATTTCAAATGTTTTGGACATTGAAAGCACAAATAATTTGTTCTTTAAGTATTATTGTAAATACAATAAAACACATTTTGTTTTAACTTTCTTTCAGGATAAGTTTTCTTCATGTCACACTCAAATTAAGCACAACTAGTGGTCGCCCTGGTGACCGATTGCTTACCTGAGCAGCAGGTGGGTCCTCTAGAGTTTCCATTGACCTCTTGATGTCGACATTGACCTCAGGTGGACGGTCATGTCTCGAGAAGTTATTAATCTCAGGTTCAGATAGTAGATTTAGTTGTTCACAGGATGATGTCACAGATACCCTGACCTTTGACCTGTCTGGCATGTTCCTTGGTCTTCGTGATGCTATTTTTTGATGTTTGTTGAACGTTACAAATTACAAATAAAATGACTGTAATGCAATAAATGATAAAGACCTCTAACTATTTATAAGTGTTGAAGTAAAATACTTCAGTTCTACTGGTTCTTTATGAAATCAGTACATTCAGTGATGTGCTTACAACATTCCCATACTATTAAAACTATGACTAACAGCGTCGCTCATAGTATTGACAACAATAATAATGATTATAATCATGCTAATAATGCTATAATAGTATAACAGCAACATTATATATGGAGATAGTTCCTGGTATTTAGTGTAAACTATTTCCTAATGAAGAAGTTTGGACCGTTTCATGTTTTGGACGTTGCTTTAACTCCACAGAAAACATCTTGACAAATGTTATCTGACATTCAGAGAATAACTGCACTTATACTCAGTGGTTTACTATTCAGAACTTTTCAGAAGGCCGATGTTTGTGCTGGGTTTTGTTAATATATCAGAGTAAAATTTATTTCTGATTGAAATTAAGTATAGATAGATCAGAAAGGTCCCTGGATGGGAAAAATCAGGGAATTCATCCATCGTCTTCAATTCATATCAAAATAATGCATCTCTTTATTTTGAAATGTCCTATTAAATCTCTGACTGAACAGAAATATGTGATTGGAACGTGGCAAAAATGGGTATGAGTACTTCTGCAAGTCACCGTAAGAGGCGAACTGGATGCATTTTTTTTATTTTCGAATTAAGATCCAACACATTCAGCCCTGGAGTTGTGTTGCTTTTGCAAAACACAAAGCTGACGATCGTATCCGATGGCGTTTGCAAAGTGTTACATCATTTTATCTAATGCGAGTGTTTCATGTTCACTTCTCTTTCTTGAATTACTCTCAGGTTCTTGCCATTCTGAATTCCCATCTTTGTGTTTTTTTATTTAGATATTTTTTTTTCTCGTGTTTCCACTAACCGACTCATATCTTAGCTCTCTGCCTGTGCGAGTACTGACAGGTGTGTCAGATTACAGGACATGCAGAGCATGCTGCCCCCTCAGATCAGCGCAGGGTGCTTATCAGGAGTCTTAAGAGCAACATTTACAGTGCAATAATGTGTGACTCACGGTGGGAGTTAATATATGGGCTATCAGGAGCAGCACGGTCGAGTGAAGAATGAGAGCGAGCGAGATATAGCCAACTGGTAGAAAGTCACTGAGGCGGGGAGAGAGAGAGACATATGGAAAAGGGAAACGGCAGAGAAAACGGGGGGGAAATAGAGACGAACAGGAGGAGAGAGACAGAGGAGAAGAAAGAAATATGATGAGGAATGAAAGGCATTCTGATATGTAACAAATGTTGGGCACAAGTCATTATTTTGATTTTGGTAAAGAAAAAAAAAACTTCTAACAAAAATGTATTATTTTAGGAAGGTGGTGATATTAGTATGTAATATAGTTGGTGGAACAATGTGCATACATATGACTTGAGTTAAAATATGTGAGTTTGATACCTGAAGTGTTTAAATGACTTGATTTTTGATGTAAAAAAGAAAATAGACCATGATAAATCAACTTGGAAACATCCACCCTCAGAGGGACAGTATTATGTGTTTTTCAGGCACATAATACCATTTCATAGCACAATCAAGTAACTATGTTACCTTCAGTTGTTACAGAAATGCCTTATATATAAAATATGACTTAAGTTAGGAAGTAACATTTCTTTTAACGCTATTAAATTGGGCCTATGTCTCTTTAAAAACTCCTGCTCTTTCTGAAACTCCGCCTCCAGGGAGTCATCACAACATGGCTCCTCTATTAACCCTTTAACAAAGTTTTTACCAGCGTTTCACTGAGCAGTAGCTCCTATAATGAGCTCAGCAGATGTTCAGCTCCACCAGGTGGTTGCTAATTGCTGCTGGCTAGTCTGAAGGAGCTGAGTGGGGGGAGCTGTGGGGGAGGGCACTCTGTGAGGCAGAAGCTCAGAAGCTTGGACACTGCAGCTCCGAGGAGGAGCCGTGCCATGAAGGCGGGGCTAGGTCCACTCAGGCATTTTGCACACCTGAATGGTTACCATGGAGATTAATGGATTACTCAAACATATATGAAAGCCATTTGTTTAAATATGGAAAAGAGAGAAACATGAGTAGATTGTTGTGAAATTATGCTCCTGTTGATCAGCAGCAGATCAGGTGTTTCCTCAGGCCGTGTAGTGTTCATTAGACTGACAGCCTGGAGGAAGAAACTCTGTGGTGGCTGATTTTTACAGACAGCACTCTGTAGCGCCGATCTGAAGGTAAAAGTCCAAACGGCTGATGTCCAGGATGTGTGGGGTCTGCAGCGATGCTGTGGTAGCTGCCTTTCCCCCCCAACTCTAGACCTGTACAAGTCTAAGAAGGAGGGAAGGTCAGCCATGATGATCAGGAATAAGGTGGAGCTAAAATGAGCAGTTTAAGTTAATGTCGCTTTCTGTAAACATTTGGAAATTGGTTTTTAATACATTTATGACTGTGCTGGAAAGTCCAGTTATGCTGGTTAACTTTTGACATTTCATATTTTTTTTTTCTCTTTTACTCCATGAAGTCCTAAAAGGTCTTTTGCCTCTGTGAATTTGTTCTCATGCAGAGTGAGAACAATCGGCCGCACATGGACTCTGTGTCAATCTCACAACACTAAATATAATCAAAGAGGCTGGATGGGTGGAAACATGCGTGGCAGCGACTGTGTGTGAGGGCACACGGGTGTGTGTGTGTGTGTCCGTTTTACTTTCACCAAAATAAAAGGGCTGCTATTGACCAAGGCCACTTTCTCGCTTTGTGTGGTCAAACTGAGTGGCTGCGGAGAATTGATCTGCACAAAAAGTGTTCTTTGTGGCCAAATCCACTCCGGGAACTTCACTGCATGTGTGTTGTGGTCCGAGTCGACGTGTTACTTTTTGTTTTTTTCTTTCTTTCTTTCTTTGAAAAGACAGAGTTTGTAAAATTTTAAGCTTTGATTTAAAATTCTGGGTTTCAGTTTAAGAAAGGGAA